GAGGCTAGAGTCTGGAACCAGCTTCCAAGTGAGGTGGGGCAGGCTCCCACCCTGGGGGTTTTTAAGAGGAGGTTGGATGACCACCTTACTGGGGTCGTTTGACCCCAGTGCTCTTCCTGCCATGGCGGGGGGTCGGACTAGATGATCTGCTCAGGTCCCTTCCAACCCCAGAAACTATGAAACTAGGATGCAGTACAAATAAATGAAAGTGTAAGGTGGTGGAGGAAGGCATTTCTGTTAAAATACAGCCTCCAGGAAATCTCTAGTCATATGATTAGCGTAACTGGGAGTTGCATGATTGCTTCAGGTTTTATATATTTTCCACTGTGAGATCTTTTGTTGTAAAGTACAGTGTAATTCAATCATTTTATTTAAATGATGTTGTGGTGTATATAGCGTATCTTAATTTAGAAAATTAAATGGACATAGCTGTGCTTTTGTAAAACTGGTATAGATTTTATTTTCCAAAAATACTTTCATAAATGCCTTTATCTCCTTTTAACTGTTTTTTTTTCCCTTTTGGATCCACTGGACTTCTGAAAAGAGCTTTTAGCTTCGAAGCTGACTTTTTCATATATTTAAGATATCTGTAGCATTATTGAATTTTATTTGAAGAGTGTATTGTGTGATGGCTGAAGTCAAGTTACATCCAGGTTTATCTTAGACCTACTACAATATAGATTGTGATTTGGTTTTAGGAGACTGCCTTGTTTGTCCTTAAGTGTTCTTTGTGACATTCCACACACCCACAGAATATTATTTATTTTAGCTCTGAAAAACACAGAAGACTAGGCTGTATGTGTTTGAGATAAGTGCTAGCTGTGATTGCTTGTTCAAAGTGCACTGTTGAATTAAGTATTCTATACATGAGAGAAATTCTTTGGGCTTCCAGTAACACTTATATTTTCATATTAATAAACTAATGTAAAATATAGTTTTACCCTTAACAATTAGGTAACTATTATTTCTCTTCATGCAGCTCAAGCAACGAAACTAAACTGGACTATTGCATGCACTGATTTTCGTGTATAAGCAGAAAGCTGTTGCATTTAGGTTTGGAGTACTACAGGCAACTGTGAATTAACAAGTTGTCATTTATGTTCCCTAAAAAAAATAAGAACTGTCTACAAATATTTAGGTTTTAAAAAGCTCCCTAATCTCTCCACCTTTTGCACAAGACTTAAATTTGGGGAGCTAGGCTGCTAAGTATTCCTTTAAAAAGTGGGCTTTTAAGTTAGATTCTGCATTTGTTACTCCTCTTAAAACAAAATATAATTTCTGGAACTTAATGGAAAACTTTATATGTTTATTTCTTTAAAGCATTTTGAAAATTGCTAAAACATCAGATATGTATCCATTTATTTTCAGAAATACAGTAATCATTGTAGGCAGTACTTAGTTCCACGGGACAGGAGCATGAAGGCCTGCATTCAGTGTTTGGGCATAGGCTTAGATGCTTTGCTCAATTAGCATGTATGTATGGTAGAGACCCAGTGCAAGTCAGATCCCACTATTGCAAGCAGAAGTTTACACTTATACAGACCCATTGACTTCAGTGGGAATATTGAGACTTGTCTATGCTATGGTCTCTTCCATTAAAGGTGTATCAGTAAAGCCCCTTATTGTAGCCACAACATATTCTAATAGAAGGAATTTTCTACCAGTTTAGATGCACCATCTTCCTGACCAACATAGGCTAATTCAGGAAAAGCACAAAAGCAACCACATCTGTACCAAAGGCTTTGCTGATATAGGTTTCAGCTAGGGGAAGTGATCTTTTCATACCCATATAAGCAGGTTTCCTAGAAAAATATTGTAGTATAGACTAAGCCTGATAATGCACAGTTCTGCAAATGCAAGTTGTAAAACTGATGCCTGTTTTGATGCACCGATAATATGTTATGAATTGAAGAAAAATTATGTTCTTGTTTACATTATAGACGGGAACGTCAGTATTCTGTGTGTAGTAATGAAGAGTCCCCTGGAAATCATGAAGTTTTGTATTTCAGTATGGCTAGTGCTGGACAGCTTGTTGTCCACAAAGGAAAATGTATAGGTGAGTAAATAGCAATTACAACTTTAATATTTTTAAAATGTTAGTGCTTGCATAAGAAGAATGGATGCATTAGTTGTCCATTAAATGAAGGTGAATCAGCCTGCAGGCACTTTTGAATAATGTTATGGGCAAAGCTGGGGAGAAAGCTGTTGATCCAGTGGCTTTAATAAGAACTTGGAGAGGCCCTGGTAAGAGTGGGGCAGAGTAATGCAAGATTTTTTTTGTGGGTGAATTTGTATTTTTGTATTTTAGGAGTATTTGGAGTTAAATGTATTTAGAGCTATAGAAATAATGTATGAATCCATGGTATTTCCAGGAAGAGAAAGTAATAGTTTTATTGCTTGACACCTAAAATACTTATGAAAAAGACTTTACTACCAATCTTGAAACTGCACAGATATTGATACTACCTTTAAGGCCATATATAAGACTAGGACTAGAAAACACAACCCTAATTGAAAATTTTTACAAGAACCATTGGGGTGAGCAAGATGAGAAGCTGAAATAAGCCTGTGGGCTTTAAAATATCTGTGAGAATTAAACTAGCAAAACTTTACAGCATTTTGTCTCACTGTAGCTCCTTAACCTGGGCAGTGGATTTGCTGCTGAAAATTCTACTTTCTTTGAATGTAGTTTTGTTACTTTATATATTGAGGATATATGAAGATGTCACTATGTAGAGTTCAGCAACTGAAGAAGCTAGCGAGTGGGAAAAGCTTTTTAGTTGCTGAAACCACAAATTCCTTAAAATGTGTAATAGTTTATGCCAATGCAAATTTTGTGTCCATGTGCTCATTTAATTTCTCACTAATCTTTGAGTTTGGTTTACATATAATTTGATTTCAATTGAACTAATATTTTGCAGACAATGAAATGGAGTTACAGATCTTGTAGTTTGGGTTAGGTTTATGTTTGAAGATTTTTCAAACTTGTAAGAAGCAAGCTTTTTAATTTCATTCAAAAACCAGCTATTAGAACACTGTCAGGCTGTCAGGGGGAAAATGATGTTTTTTCTTCTCCTTTATTTTATGTGTAGATAGGGATGAGCAGCTTGGTAAATCAGTCTACAATGCCTTGGAAATACGGAGTGGCGATTTTGTCTTAGTACATGAATGGGTTCTTCAATGGCAGAAAAAAATGGGAAGATTTCTTACAAGTCAAGAAAAAGAAAAGATTGATAAATGCAAAAAACAGGTATTACACAGCTTTTCCTCCAGTTGTCAATATATTTTATAACTGTTGTTATCCAGCTTTATTAATCTGAGACCAATTACTGAATTAGGGTATATCAACCAACCTCTTTCAATGTTCAGCTGAATAATTAAGTTGCTAAGGCAAAGGAGAACCAGGCCCCTGGGGTGTCCTGAGCAAGGGTGTTGAAACACCAGGATGAACAGTAGACCCTAAAGATCCCAGAAATGCTACAGGAAAGGAGTTTTAGGGCTGTTCCATCCTTCACCTTTCTCCGCAGTCCCTTCCTGTAGGGGTATGTAGGGTAATGGTATTTTGGAAACTCACATGGTCAGCAGCTCCAAAACTTTGGGCACCTATATACATGACAGAGCTCTGCTCCGATGCATACTAATAAGCACACATCAGAGCAGACTCGATTAATCAAGTCTGCTGCGAGTCTGCTGGACTCCAGTAGCCTCCGCATCACATGTATTCAGCATTCCCACTTTTCAAAATGATGACGGGGGCACTTTAACTAAAGCTTGTTCAGTGAGCTTTAGTTAAAGCACCCCTGCTGCCATTTTGAAGCTGAGTACATGTAACACTATGAGCACTTTAATTAGGGCAGGTCTCAGAGCCACTCTAATTTAAAGCGCCTTCCCTTCTACCCCGGAGCACATGTATAGATGCCCTTGGTGTTTAACTTTGGTTCTCATTAGAACAGATTTCAGATCCTGCTGGTCACATTGCTTAAAAATACAATATTATATTGGCATCTTTCAAAACCTTTGGATTATTAGGAGTTTAAAAATTAGTAATGGGAGAAATCTCAAAGGCATTAATATTTATCAATGTGTAGCACCCACAAGTTTGGATGTTGGTTGAAACCTTTGTTGAACTTCTTGAATGTGCAGACTAAAGAGGTTGTTCTTAAGGGAGCAGACTTTGCTTCCATATAAATGATGGAGGTAAGAAGTGCAAAAGCACATGAGAAGTCACAACAACTCTTGTTCAAACTATTCATATTTCTCAAAAAATGGGTTGAGCATAAGTCTGGTTCTTTTCTTATCCATACCAGTTGACTTGTCATTATTAAAAATGTACTCCTTATAATGCTGCTCCCATGACATAGGAGAGATCCATTACTGCTCTTGACTAACCCCTGGTATGTTGTATTTCTCTTAAACAGCTTCAGGGTACAGAAACAGAGTTCAATTCACTGATGAAGCTATATCACCCAAACATAGTACGTTATATATCTATGAGCCTTAAAGAGCATGACGACTCGATTGTGGTAGACATTTTAGTGGAGCATGTTGGTGGATCCAGCCTTTCTACATATCTGAGCAAAGAGACCCCTATTCCCATTGATCAGCTGCGCTGTTATGCAACCCAGCTTTTGTCAGCTCTCGACTATTTACACAGTAATTCCGTGGTGCACAAAGTTCTGTGCGCATCCAGTATCCTGGTAGATGCTGAAGGGAATATCAAGGTGACAGACTACAGCATTTCAAAGCGTCTTGCTAGTATCTGTAAAGAGGATGTTTTTGAACAAACTAAAGTTCGATTTAGCGAGGATGCTCTACCCAACAAATCTGGAAAAAAAGGAGACGTTTGGCATCTGGGCTTGCTACTGCTTTCTCTCAGCCAGGGTCAAGTGAGCAGGGAATATCCGGTCACTGTTCCTAATGACTTACCTGCTGACTTCCAAGATTTTCTGCAAAAGTATGTACCTGTTGTTTTATTCCTTTTTCTTTTGCCATGTTTCTTTTTTTTCCTGCAATTATCTCTGAAAGAAAAATGTTCAAAAGTGAAAAAAATCCATATAGTTTTCTGCCAGCCTGGGGGTGCTCACATATACCAACCTTCATGGCCAGTTGCCTGAAGCTGCAAGACCCAACTGAGTAGCAGCACAGGCCCGATGGACTGCTGGGCACAAGCTGCCACCCCCACCCCCACCCTTCCCCTGCTGTCAGCTGCAGGAAGGGGAGAGCTAGCAGAAAATCTCTCCCTAGCTTTCACCTCTGAGAGAGCGGTGGGGAGGGGGAGCACACCACCCAGCCCTGGCACCCTCCAGCTCGGGTCTGCCTGGCACAAGAAAAGTCCCCACTGAGGGGCTTTACACCCCCTGCAGCCTGGCTAGCAGTGCTCTGATTTGCTCAGCTTTGCCCTGTGCCTGTGAGAGGAGGTGGGAGGAATGCACACACCTGGCCAGACACCAGTCTCCCCCAGCTGGGGTCTGTCCAGCATAGGGGAAAGACACCCCCACCCCTCCGTGGTTTTTTGCTTCCCTGCAGCCCAGCTTGCCGGGCTGGGATCAGCTCAGCCCTGCCCCCTCCCCAGCCCCTGTCTGTGAGAAGCACTGGGTGGTAGGGGGCGAATGTACCAAGCTACCCAGGCAGCGGGCCCCCTCAGCTGGGGGTTTTTTGCTCCCCTTCAGCCCACTTCACTGGGCTGGGATCAGATCGCATCCACCCCCTCTCCACCCCCTGCCTGTGAGGGGCACAGGGTGGGGGACACACACTGGCTTCCCCAACTGGGGTCTGCCCCAGGGGATGGAGAGGAATGGGGGAAGCCCCCACCAAGGGCTTCTCGTGCCCTCGCAGCCTAGCTTGCCAGGCTAGCATGGGCTCAGCCCCACCTCCTCCCCAGTTCCCCTACTTGTGAGGCAAGGGGAGCAGGAAGGAGAATGCCATGGCCCAGCACAGGACAGTGCAAGTCCCCACCCCTCCCCCCATCCCACCTAGCTGACGGGTGCTGGGTGGGAACAGAGGCTTTAGCTTTGTGATAGCTGGGGGAGGGGCCAATCCTGCTCCAATGGAGCAGACAGTACAGCCCAGGGCTGCAAAGCATTCAGGGATGCTGGGGGGCTATGTGTTAACTTGAATCAGGAGGGGATATGGGACAGAAGTCCCATAAACTGTTTGGCTTAAATCAGTTAAGTCTGATACTACATCCAACCAGGTTTATCTTAAACCAGTTTTGGCCATTTTGAAAGCAGTTTTTATACAGAATGTCTGTTCTGTTACAGGTTTAAACCCATTTCAGATCATTTAAACTGGTTTACTTCTGTCCCTATCCCTAGCTAGTGTACCTGTTCAGAGCAAACTTTACACTAATGGCTTTGAGCTCAGCACACAGCACAGCAGCCATACCCACTTTCACTGACTAACAGTGGATTAAGAAGAGAGAGTGGGGCTGGTGCCCACCCTTTTTATAGTAGTCTGCTGGTTAAAGCACTTGCCCAAGAGTTGGGAAACCTGGTTTTTGAGAGTATTTCCCCTTTCTAGGCCTTGGGTCCCACTCCTGGTAATGCTTATCAGTTTTGCGTTAAGGAGAACATAATTCATTTCGGCTGTAATTGCCTTCTCTCCCTTCTTCCCCCCAGGTCTGTGGTTACACAGTCACACTCCCTCTTACTGACTTTCTTTCTGGTTCATGAGTTTATCATTTTTGGATGCACAGCGGCTTATCTTCAACCAAAAGAGTCAAGAGTGTTGCCAGCACTGCCTAGCTTATAACAAATCCCCTCAAGTTGAGATGCACCCAAGGACCCAGCTATCTCACGGGGTTCCTGGCAAGTCCCTTCTGCACAATGGGGATAATGCTGCTTTGCTTCCCTTCCCATTTAAAAATATATAGGGAAAGTTAGACCCAATGTTCACATGTGTTTTTGAGAAGTCTGTGTTTGGTTTGTTACCAGATGCGTTTGCTTGGAGGATAAGGAGAGGTGGAGTCCTCAGCAGTTGTTACAACACAGTTTTATACACTCTTCCCAAATGAAAATACCTGTAGCAGAAGAAAATGCAGATGGTAAGAAATTCAGTCTCTCTTTCTGTGTCCTAGGGTGTAAATAATTTTTCACACAAAGGTAAACACAAATGTATATATACAACTGCAGCTTTTGCATTTAGTTCAAGATGTATTACAATACTGAAAAACTGTATGTGTGTTTTTGAATAAAATAGTCTAAAAGGTAAAATCTATAGTATTTTCAAGTTCTATAGTTTCCTGGTAGGAGCTGCCTGATTCCCTACCTCATCTTCAACACTGAGCCTTGAATTAGTGTCCAAACTGTTCTCTTCCTGGTATTTGGCTTTACTGGTAACTCAAAAAGCAAAAGAACAATGCAAATCACAGCCTAATCTTCCCTTCCGTGAGGCTTTTCTGAACATTTTTTCCCTCTGGTCTCAAATTTCTATACCTATTGTGTTCTTGTTGGAATTGATTTTGTTTACCTACCAACATGACTCATTCATAATTAAAAGCCTTCATTAAGGTTCAGATTAATACCTGAGCTTTGTTTGGCACAGCAAAAGTGTTTTGCATTCTGATTTTTATTCTGTTATCATGTCATGCTAATGGCTCCTTAAAATGTGTCATTATTCTTGACAGCTGATTAACACTGCATCACTTTTCACATTCAATACTTTGACTGTGGTTTCAGATCTTTTGGTTATCTTTTGGTTTCAGATTCAGCAGGAATAGATTGCCTAGAGACAGTTATTCCCAGTGGTCAGGTGTCCAATGCTGCATTCTTCACAGAAACACAAAGGCAATTGTCACGTTACTACAATGAATTTGAAGAACTACAACTGCTTGGTAAAGGAGCTTTTGGAGCAGTCATCAAGGTCATTCCCCTTATAGACCCATTTTGTGTGTGTGTTTAAGGGGGAGGGTCGGTGAAATATATGTAAAAAAATGTGGAACTTGTATTATAGATATTATCTTTATACTAGGGCAATCAATTAATTGTGATTAACCCATTAATTATTCACATGACTTTTTTTAACGTATTAATCACACACGGCTTTGGAGCCCGCTCCTGGGCTCTGATCTGCCGCCATCACTGCTGCCCTGGGCTGTCCTGTGGGGCAGTGGTGGCAGTGCAGAGGACCGCAGGGCAGCCCGGGTGTGGGCTCCAGGTGGCTGCAACAGGAAGGGGAGGGGTGCACACAGACACACAGCCACAGCCTGCAGGTGGCCAGGAACACAGCCTGGCGGCGGGTGGAGCAGTGCCCAGCAGGCAAGTCTGTAAAGGTGAAGGGGCATGGGGAGGGAAGGGGCTAGAGGGAGGGCAGATTGAGGACCCCATGGTGAGGAAGGGAGTGGGGTACAGGCAGGGGCAGATGCTAGGGTGAATAGGTCCTCGGGGCCAGGGCAGGTCATTGGATGGAGCTGCAGTTCATCCAGGGGCATGGGGGGAGGCGCTCCAACTCCTGCGTGCACCCCTGGGGGAGGCATGTTTCCCCGGGATATGTGCGTGGGGTGGAGGTGGACTGCGGCCGTGGGCTGGGGCTCTGCGCCCTGCTGCCATTGCCTTGGGAGCCGCGTGCTGTTGGGCGTGCAGGGGATGCGAGGCGCAGCCAGAATGCATCTGCCGAGGTAAAGGCAGCAGGGTGCAGAGCCCCAGCCCACAGTGGCAGACTGCCTCCACCCTGCACACACATCCAGGGGGCACATGCCCCCCGTGCCTCCCCTGGGGGTGCGTGCAGCAGTGGGAGCAGCCCCCAGCCATGCTTCTGGACAAGCTACAGCTTTGTCTCATGACCCACCCTTGCCTTGAGACCTCATTTGCCCCTGCCCCTACCCCTGCCTCATTCTGTCCCTCACCGTGGGGACCTTGATCTACCCTTCCTTTCCTCAAACCCTTTCCTTCCACAGATTTACCTGCTGGGCTGTGTCTGTGTGTGTCTTTGTGCCTGTCTCTGTGTGTCTGCTCATCACTCCCAAGTCACAGACTCCCCAGCTCTGCTGCTGCCCCTCACTCGTGATCCACAGCACCCTACTTCCTGCCAGGGCATGTGAGAACCCCCCCACCCCAGGCT